TGAATGAAGAAAATTGGGGGAAAACTTTCATAGACAATCTCTCAAGTGGGATGTGATTGGGTGGAAATATTGCTGTGGTGAAGGAAATGATGAGCAGGTTGATTTTGAAAAACTTGGGAAGATTTGGACTCACAAAGAAAGATGCTATCCACCTTCAGAGAAACAGGTGATGGGAGAAAATAAGCATAATACGGTCTTACATAGATGTGTATGAGTGTATATGTGCATATATGTGTATACTTATATCTATCTATCTACCTTATCTATCTATGTGTAGATTAATAGTAGCCTTCTTTAGGGTTGGGGGAGAGACAGGGGAAAATAAAATAAAAAGTGTATAGCAGAGAGCAAAAGAAAACAAACAAAGAAGCAAAGAAAAGCTGGGCAGCTTTGAAAACAATGTGTAGTATTTATTATATAAGGTTTTTTGAAAGGAAGATTTATTGTTTTACATTGAATCCTCTTTTATTCTCTGCTATGTCCATAACAGTTTTTTTTCTTTTCTCATTTTGTATTTAAGTTTAAAATAAAAAATTTATCAAAAAAAGAAAAGAAAAGAAAAACAATGAGATTTATAGAATAAAGAATTGGAAAGGAAATTAATAGCATGGTACATGAGGTACAAAAATCATGCCCTCCAAAACTAACTCCTTGAATATTAGAATGAACCACATAGAAAATGATGACTCCAGGAAGTGACTATAAATATATTTTTAAAAATCAAAAAACTGAAAAAAAGAAGAAAAAAATCTAAGTTATCTTATGGCAAAAACAGCTGACCTGGAAAACAGATTGAGAGATAATTTAAGAATCATTGTACTACCTGAAAACCATCACCATAAAAAGAGCTTAGAAATCATATTTCAAGAAAACTGCCCAGATTTCTCAGAACTAGAAGACAAAGTAGAATAGAACCCACTTGTCACCTCCTGAAATAAATCTCAAAATGAGAACTCTCAGGAACATCACAGTCAAAATTCAGAGCTTATAGGTCAAAGCAAAAATAAAGCTAGCGTCAGAAAGAACTCAAATACTAAAGAAACTACAGTAAGGATGATATGGAACTTAGCAGCCACCACTATTAAAAACAAACAAACAAACAGAAAGCTCAGAATACAATATTCCAAAGGCAAAGTATATAGGATAAAAATCAAGAATAATTTACCCAGCAAAACTGCTTGTAATCCTACTGGGTAAAAATAAACCTTTAATGAAATAGAAGACTTTCAAGTATTCCTGATGAAAGACAAAAGCAACATAAAAACTTTGAAGTTTAAGCACAAGAGATAAGAGAAATATAAATATAAACTCATTTTTGTGAGGCAGTTGGGGTTAAGTGATTTGCCCAGGGTTGCACAGCTAGTAAGTATCAAGAATCTATGAATAGATTTGAACTCAGATCCTCCTGACTCCAGGACCAGTGCTCTATCTACTGCACCACCTAGCTGCCCCACAGCATCTTATATTCCAATATGAGAAAATGATTATCTGAACCTTATCATCATCACTGGTCACAGAGGTCATCAAATTGGACAGATAGTCTTGGAATGGTTATCTTATGTTTTGCTATTCTTAAAAGAATAGAAAGGCAGAGGAAGAAGAATACACTAGGGAAATAGGGAAGAAAAAGGATAAGGAAAACTATCTCAGGGTGCATAAGTCTATACAAACAAAGAAGGACAGGTGGGAATGTTACATTTAAACTAATGTCCTCTCAGTACACTCATATGACAAGGTCAAAGGAAGGAAGAATATGCACACACACACAATTGGGTATGGAAATAAATTTCATTCAACATGGAAACAGGAAAGAAAGAGAAGAAAGGGAAAAGGGACAATAAGAGGGAAGGCCAATTAAAAGCATGATTTGTCCTAAGGAAAATAAATTTTAACTATAGATGTACAAAAATGTGTGATACAATATTAATGTACTATAAAAAATGATGAAAGGGATAGTTTCAGAGAAAACTGGGTAGACTCTCATGAACTGATGTAAAATGAAGTGAACAGAACCAGGAGAACCATTTATACAATATCAACAAAGACAAACAACTTTGAAAAAGTTCAACTCATAATGACCAACCACAACTTCAGGGGAATAATAATGAAATATACTTCCTCATAGCTGAAAGATCCAGAATGCAGAATAACACACACACACACACACACAAAGGCACACACACATGCACATCTATATACAAATGTGTGTAAATACATTGAAAATACATCTACAGAGAAATAGATAGATAGATAGATACGTGTGTATATGCATTTTTCCTTAACTATATATGACTATATTTCTAACTGGAATTTTTTTCTTTTATTCTGAAGTGGTGGGTGGGAAGGATTTTTGCTGATGGAAAAAATAATTTTAATAAACCTAATAAAACAGAAACTTCCTTAGCTAGCCTTATTTCTCAAATAGAGAGAACCTAGTTGCTAATATCAAAAAATTAAAATGGAGAATCCACAACCAATGAAAAAACAAAGCACTAGAAAATACTTTCCCAATCATATGCCAATAAAACCGATAATTTAAATGAAAAGATCAGTATTTACAGAAACATAAAATATCCAGGTTAGCAAAACAAGAAATCAAAGTTTAAATAATTCCATGTCAGAAAAAAACAAATTGAACAAGCAGTAACCCTGGGGGAAAAAAAGATCAGATGAATTTAAATGTGAATTCTATCAAACATTCAAATAACAATTAATTCCATTATTACAAAAACTGTCTGCTAAATTATGAAAAGAAGGGATCCTATCAATTCTTCAATGCTAGAAATATGATCTTTAGATCTAGACTATAGAAAGAAAATTATTAACCAATATCTCTAATGAATATTGATGCAGATATTAAGTATTCAAAATCCATTGAATAAAATATTAGCAAAGAGGCTATGGCAACATATTGCAAAATTATACACTATGACTAGATTAAACTTACACTACTAATCTGTGATTAGTGCAATAGAAAACCTAAACATAATATGCTGTAATAATTTTTTTTAAGTTTAACATATATACAGAAAATACTTTTGAAAACATACAACACCCAGTTGTTTCTTTTTAATTTTAAACATCATTAGAAAGCATGGACACACACTGAGCACCAACACTATAGTTATAGAAAAAATTCTAGAGACCTTTCCAGCAGCCTGACAAACTCATTCCAAATCCAGTGGTTTTTACTACAATAAGCTACAATTTGATGCATAACATATACTATAATGTATATGCGTATAATATGCCTGTATAGTCATGCCATAAACAAATTAGAGAAGTGAGGGAGGAGACACTTTTCACAACTAGGGATAATTAGGAATAGAGGAAGAGTTCATGGTTCCTGATGACACATGGCATAGAGGTCACAGGAGATAAAATGGATAATTTTGATTACTTAAAATTGACTATTTTCTGGACAAATAAAATCAAGGCAAGTAAAATCTGAAGGGAAATAGTTGTGTGAAAAAAAATCTTTGTAACAAATTTCTTTAATATAAGTGTCCTATTGGACATATATAAGGGATTGATTCAAATATATAAGAACAAGAGGCATTCTCCAATATGTAAATTGTGAAAATATATGAACAGTTAAAAAAAAAGAAATCCAAGCTATTAACAACTATATGAAAAAATATTCCAAATCCCTAATAATTATAGAAAAATAAATTAAAACAAGCTCATAACTATCAGATTGACAATGATAACAAAAAAGGAAAATGGCAATTTTGGGGATATTTGTGGCAAGATAGACATACCAATTCACTTTTGATGGACCTGTGAATTGGTATAGCCATTATACAAAGCAATTGGAAGTATACCCTAAAATTCACTAAAGTTAATCCTGTGTTTGCTTTCCCCTTAACATCTCCCTTAATGTAAATTTTAAAAAATAAAATTAAAGCACAAGTTTATGCTTATTTTCTTGAGAGATACTGGTAGTAATGTCCCCTCCAATAGGTGGGGGATATAACAGCAACAAATGATACTTTAAGTCTGTAGACACTGGAAAGAATAACCGTGTTAACAGATGACTTTTACAAGGAGTTTCCAGTGGCTTTTGCTGAAGTATAAAGAGAAGAAGCCCATTGCTGATGCATTATCAAAGCGGACAGTGCTCAACAGCTGCCAGGTTGAGGCAGATCCACAGGGTATGCCAAATTGAAGTCACTTCTGCCTTAGTTCCCTTCCACGCAGGCGGGAGGGTATATCAGCCTACGCAACATCTGTTCCTAAGGCAACAGGAGTTTCACCACCTATACAATGACTCCGGTTGTTACACTGAGATGAGGTGACACACTGGGATGAGGTGATGTAGTTAGAAGCTAATTCTAGTTCATCAATATTCCATTTACGCTAGACATATTCGCAGCAACCACCCACTCAAAAAAAAAGATTCAGAGATCCAGGGAGCTCTAACCCCAGCTGATCTTTCTAAGCCAACCGCATGCGCGGTCACATTTTCCTTGGGCCTTCTGGTGGATTTACACTCCCACCTCCCAATGGGTCTGTATGAGCATAAAGTCTCCTGCATCTCGTGCCTCCATAGAATTAGAACAAGCATCTAATCCTTGCAGATTTATTTCTCCATTGACTTGGAGCACTGATGCTGCCTGCAACTAAGCGCGTTCCATGGGATAGCTGACCACAGCCCTAATCTACAGACCAACTTGTGCAGGTAGTGACATGACCTTGAACATTATTGTCCCTCAGACCATCCACTTAGTCTTTCCAGTTCCTCTTCTGAAGCATTCAGTCTCCTACTGAATTTAAAGGGCACCATGTCTCCTGCAATGCACCAGACAAAGCAAGAAAACAGTCCCCCACACTGCCCCCCTGACCATAGGTCTGAATGAAGTGTATTGTGTCTGAAAGAGGGGAACACCCTAGTGCAAAACAATTTTATGACGGTGCAGATGGAAGGAGTGCAATTGTGTCTGGGGGAGGGGAAAGGAGTATGAGGACGAGGCGGAAGGAAGAGATTTCCTAAGACTCACCTTGTGGAGCTTCCACATAGCCCCCAAAGCCTTGACTTCATGACTAGAGTGTTTGCCCTCTTCCAAGCACTGGTAACACACAGGCATCTTGCACTGGACGCAATACATACTGTGGTTTTCCAGCTCATGATCTGTACAGGTGGAAATTTTGCGGGGACTCAACCTCCGACTAACCCGGCCTTGGGCTGGGGGCACCAGTCGGTGTTTAGCCAGAGGTCCCCTAGGCGGGTGGCATCTGAGCCGACATGGGTCGCAGTAGAAAACATCGCACTGTTCGCACATTACTGTAGCCTCCTTGGGAGCCTTTTCGCAGAGCTGGCACTTGAGGGCCGCAGCTTTGCTCTGCTGATAGCGATCGATGACCCCTTCCAGAACGCGGTTTTTAGGAAAGCCGCGCAATCCCCGGTCATCTAGGATCAGGCTACGGTGGCATTGTGGACAAGTGATGCAGGAGTTGCGAGGCACTGGGGCCAGAGATGCTGACAAGTGGGCCGCAGGGGGTGGCATGGCCGGGGGAAACACTCGGACTCCGTTGGGAGACTTCTGACACGGAGTGGTGGGGGCACTGGCGAAACCTGCATAGGAACCGTAGCCGCTGTCCGCTTCGCTGTACAGACTCATCTTATCCATGTCCAGATAATCATAATCAGAGACCCCAGAACCCGAGGCCCGACGGCTCTGGGGAGACTCAGACTCCGGGGTCTGAACTAGGATGTTGCGGGCGCACGCTTGGCACAAATTGTGAGAGCAAGGCAGAATGATAGGCTCTCGATAGAAAGAACCGCACACCGGACATTTTAACTCCTCTTCCATTTCTTCCATAGGAGGGCTGGGCTGGTAAACCAAGCGGCTACAGACTGGTGCCTCAGACCTATATAGCTGAAAGTCCCCTCTAGTTAACAGGCTGGACTTGGCCAGCACCTTGGCCTGCAGCAACAGCAGTAGGAGCCGTAGCAGTAGAGTTGCCTTCTGATTTCCCCGGAACGTTAGAGCAGACTGTCACTCTGGCTTGCAGAAAATGAGCCAGACAGCCTGGACCTCCCCCTCCATATCGTTCGGCCCATTGGGGGAATGAGGGTGGATCGAGATCTACCATTGGCTCCGGTCCCTTTCAGTCGTCTTGCCTCCGCAGATAGCAAGGGACTGGGAGAGTAGGCGGGGAGGTGGGGGTTGGGGGATGTTAAAGAACTAAGGAGTCTGCGCTTCAGCACCCTATAGAGTACAGTAGTGTAGGGGAAGGAGATTCACTTTTCTTACGTTCCAATCTTCCCTACTGTCTACCTGGGTAAGGGGTGTGAGAAAACCCTTCCAGATGAAAGGTGACTTCCTCCAGAGGTTATTTTAACAGAGTTCTCCCCCAGACCCATCCTCACCCCTCCCCCTGCCAAGACTGATTCCTTTCTATGACCTTTCCACTGTAGCCTCTCTCCAAGCTATGTAAGCCTTTTCTTCCCTGTCTTCTGTTCAAACCAAGCTGCTCATTTCCTAGCAGGGACAGAAGTGAACTGAAAATTGGATTTTTTTTTTTTTTTACTTTGGGTCTTAAACTTTCCATTTCAGTTCTTGAAAGGTTTCGGGTTCGACCTCGATCTGTCTCAACTCCGTTTTGCATTCAATCAATTTGAAATGATTCCCTATTTCTCCACACTGCAATATGTGGTCTCATATGCAATATGATGTTCTCACAGGAGCATGAGCTCTTTAAGTTCAATTTGGATTACCATGATAGGGGATGGGGAAACCTCACCTTCCCTCTACCTAGCCAAGGGGCAGGAGGGTTATACTGAATTAAAGCCTCTATATGCAATAAACCAGTCCAGGCCCTGGCGGCTCCAGGAAATCCTAGGACCCCAGGCTTGTGGATGTTTCCACCCCAAAGAGAAAAGAAATAATCACTATGTGAAGCCAACAGGGACCAAGGACAGACAAGAAAAAGTGGTTGTCCGAGGAAGAGCATATCAGGGAGATAGAGGGACACTTTTAAATATCATTCTTCTTAATATTTTTTATAATTTTTATTTTTATAATTTGTTTATTTATAACATTCATTTTTTTATACTTTGAATTCCAAATTCTTTCCCTCTCTCCAGCCCTTCTCTTACCCATTGGCAATGGCAAGCAATATTATATCCATGTGAAGTCACGCAAAACATTTCCATATTAGCCATGTGGGAGGAAAAAGCAAGAAAAATAAAGTGAAAAACTTATACTTCAGTTTGTACTCAGAGTTCATCAGGATTCTTTGGAAGTAGATAGTATTTTTCATCATGAGTCCTTGGGAATTGTCTTGCATAGTTGCATTAATGAGACTAGCTAAGTCTTTCACAGTTGCTCATCCTTAAAATATTGCTGTTACTGTATGCAATGTTCTCTTGATTCTGCTCACTTCATTTTGCATCAATTTATGTAAGTCTTCTTAGGTTTTTCTGAAACCATCTTGCATCTCATAACACAATAGTTTTCCATCACAATCATATACCATTACTTGTTCAGCCATTCCCCAATTGATGGACATCCTCTCAATTTCTAATTTTTTGCCATCACAAAGAAAGCTGCCATAAATATTTTTGTACCTGTAGATCCTTTTCCTTTTTCTGTGATCTCTTTGGGATATAGACCTAATAGTGGCACTGCTGAGTCAAATGGTATGCACAGATTTATAACCCTTTGGGAATAGTTCCCAATTGTCCTCCAAAATGATTGGGGCAGTTGACAACTCCAACAGTTTCCGTATTTTTCCACATCCCCACCAGCATTTGCCATTTTCATTTTCTGTCATGTTAGCCAATCTGATAGATGTGAGGTGAACTTCAGAGTTGTTTAATCTCTATTTCTCTAATTAATAGTGATTTGGATCATTTTTTCATGTGACTATTGAGAGCTTTGATTTCTTCTGAAAAATGCCTGTTCATATCCTTTAATCATTTATCAATTAGAGAATAGCTTTTATTTTTATAAATTTGTCTTAGTTTGATACATATTTGAGAAATGAGGCCTTTAGTAGAGAAACTTGCCGTAAAAATTCCACCCTCTCCCACTTTCTTGCTTTCTTTTTTAATTTTGGCTGCATTGGTTTTCTTTGTGCAAAACCTTTTTTATTTCATTTAATCAAAATTATCCATTTTACTTTCTGTGATCTTTATCTCTTGTTTGTTCATAAACTTTTCCCTTAGCTGTAGAAGTGACAGGTAGATTTTCCCATGCTCCCCTAATTTATTTATGATATCACCCTTTAGTCTAAATCATGTACCCATTTTCACCTTATCATGGTATACTGTATGAGATGTTGGTCTATGCCTAATTTCTTCCAAACTGCTTTCCAGTTTTCCCAGCAATTTTTGTCAGATAGTGAGTTCTTGCCTACAAAGCTTGGATCTTTGGATTGGTTTATCAAATACTAGATTACTACCGTCATTTACTACCATGTATTGTGTACCTAATCAATTCCACACATCCAGCACTCTATTTCCCAGACAGTACCAAATTGTTTTCATGATTACTGCTTTGTTATATAGTTTGAAATCTGGTATGGCTAGGCTGCCTTCCTTCACATTTTTCATTGATCCTTTTTCATGACCTTTTGTTCTTCTAAGTGAATTGTTACTATTTTTTCAAGCTCTATGAAATGTGATTGTAGTCTGATTGGTATGCCACTGAATGAGCAAACTAATTGAGGTAGAAGTAATTTTCATTATGTTGACTTGGTATGCCCATGAGCAATTAATATTTCTCTAATTGTCTAGATATCTCTTTATTTGTCTAAAAAGTTTTTTGTGTTCATATATTCATGGAGTATGTTTTGGCAGGTGGATTTCCAACCATTTTATATTGTCTGCAGTTAATTTAAATGGAATTTCTCTTTCTATTTCTTCCTGCTGGGTTCTGTTGGTAAGATACAGAAATACTGATGGTTGATGTAGGTTTATTTTATATCTTGCAAATTTCCTTAGGTTGTTAATTCTTTCAACTAGCTTTTTAGTTGATTCTCTAGGGTTCATTAAATCTGCAAAGAATAATAGTTTTGTTTCCTCATTACCTATTATTATTCCTGTGATTTCTTTTTCTTGTCTTATTGCAATAGCTAGGATTTCTAGTACCATATTGTACAGCAGTGATAATGGATAGCCTTGCTTCACCCTTGATCTTATTGGGAAAGCTCCTAGTTTATCACAATTACAGATAATGTGGGCTCTTGGTTTTGTCTTTTTAAGAAAAGCTTCATTTATTTCTGTGGTTTCTCATGTTTCTCATAGGAATGGGTGTTGTATTTTGTTAAAGATTTTTCTGTATGTTTCCTATGATTTTTGTTGTTGATATAGTCTATTATGCTTATAGTTTTCCAGTGTTGAATGAGCCCTGCATTCCAGGCATAAATCCAACCCAGTCATTGTTTGTGATCTTTCAAATATGTTGTTTTAATCTCTTTGCTAGTATTTTATTTAAAATTTTTTGCACAGGTATTCATTAGGGAAATTGGCCTATATTTTCTTTCTCTGTTTTTGCTCTCCCTGGTTTAGGTACCATAGCCACATTTGTGTCATAAAAGGAATTTGGTAGGACTCCTTTTTAACTTCTTTTTTCAAATAGTTCATATGGTATTGGCATTAATTATCCCTTAAATATTTGGTAAAATTCACTTGTAAATTCATCTGGTCATGGGAATCTTTTCTTAGAGAGTTCATTAATATTCAATTTCTTTTTCTAATATAAGGTTATTTAAGGCTATTTAAGAGTTATTTAAGGACTTTTACCTCTTCTGTTAATCTGGGTAATTTATATTTTGTAAATATTTAAGCATCTCACTTAGATTGTCAGTTTTATTGGTATATAATCAGGCAAAATAACTGCTAATAATTGCTTTGATTTCATTTTCATCTATGGTGCATTCACCCTTTTCATTTTTTATACTGGTAATTTGGTTGTCTTCTTTCTTAGTTTAAGTTAAATTAATCAATTGTTTTATTGGGTTTTTTTCTTAAAACTGGCTCCTTCTATTAGTTTAATTTTTTTTACTTTTACTTTTATTCATGTCTCCTTTGATTTTCAAGATTTCCATTTTGGTTTTTAATTGGGGATTTCTAATTTGTTGGGGTTTTTTTTTTAGTTGTCCAATTCATTTATCTGCTCCTTATCTCTTCTTTTGATATACACAGTTAGAGATATGTTTTCCCCTAAGCATTACTTTAGCTGTACCTCACAAATTTTCATGTGTGAGCTCATTTTTGTCTCTATCTTTCATGAAATTATTGATTATTTCTATGATTTGTTCTTTGACCCAGTCATTCTTTAGTATCAGATTATTTACTTTCCAATTAATTTTAAATTTGTGCTCTTTAATGAATATAATTTTGATTGCATTATGGTCTGAAAAGAATGCATTTAATATTTTCTGCTTTTCTGCATTTGTACATGAGGTTTTTATGCCTTATACACAGTTAATTTTCATGAAGTGCCATGTATACCATTTGAACAACTCTGTTTTTTAAGATGCTATTTTCTTCAGTATTTTTGTGTCTCTTTTACCAAGCTATCATCTTTTTTTTTTTGCATTATTCTCATTTCTTTTCCCAATTTTCTCCCAACACTCTTATTTGATTTTTAAAATATTTTTTAGCTCTTCCAGGAATTCTTGTTGGACTTATGTCCAATTTATATTTCTTTTTCCTTTGAGACTTTCCTTGTAGTTGTTTTTACATAGTTGTCTTCTGAAGTTGTGACTTTTTGTGGTAAGGTTCTTTTTTGTTTGTTTATTCAGTTTCCCAGTCTATTTCTTGACTTTGTACTTTATATTAAAGTTGGGCTCTGCTCACCTAGGGGTAGAGGAAGGCACTGTCTCAAGCTTCAGGCATTTTCACGCTGCTGGTTTTAGAGCTATTTGGAGGGCTTTGGAAGTTTTCAGTGCTTCCAAGGTGGCATGATGTGGGGAGAGGTATGCTCTCCTGGTCTTTGCTCTTGTACTTACCAGGAAAGAGTCTCTGATCCTTTG